TGTAAACAATAAAGATTAAAAACTAAATAGAAAAAAAATTAAAGAGTGGAAACTTCTAACAATGCATAAATAATCTCAATTAGACTTTCAATCAGATCAACAGGTTGACCCCAAACCCAACCTAACCCAACCCAGTTTTTTCAGATTGGGTCAGATCGGGTCATTTTAACATTCAAGTAGCTAAATATGAGACCCTAACCCTATTTTTTCGGGTTGGATTTAATTACCAAGTCTACCACCTGTAAGAAGTCGCTTCTGCAATCATTTCATGCAAATTGGATATAAGCACGTAGTTGTTGTTTAGTTTCATGTCATCATCTACTCTATTCTTGATGCGCTAGCTGCTGCTACTGTTGAGTGCTGTCTGATTTCTGTGCCCACACACCCAAATTGGAGTGGGAAGATGCTCAAACTTTTACAGTAGAAAAGTGGTTTCCTCGACATCAAGTATGTTCTTTTTCATTATGGAGCCACCTTGACTCATTAATCATGAACTGCAACAAAAGTGGCCAGATTAAATTAAATCACTATACTACTACTAAAATGTTCAGTGGGGACTAATAATAATGCAGCCTCAATTTCATTTTAAAAGGGTAAACAAACAAAAGAAACAATGTATAACCTCTTTAATCTCTTACCTGATACCTCCAAGGAAGAGAGAGAGAGATTTGGCTTTGTTGGAGATAAGAATAGGCTTTACTTTGCATCATGTTAGGGGTGTCTATGAAAAATCAAAAAATCAAACTAAATCGAAAAAACTGAACTGTAAAATGCAATTAATCGAATTGATTGGTTTGGTTTTCGTTTAGTATTTTTGTAAAACTGAAGGACTGGTTCGATTTTCGATTAATCCACAAAAAATTAGCGATTAACCAAACCGACCGATATATATATATTTATATGTATATTTTATATATTTTTAATATATGTCATATAATTTCTATATCTTATATATAAATATATATTCATCATATATAAATATATACATATATTATATATTTTAAAATATTTATAATACATTATATATCATTTATTATTTATAATATAATATTATATATTTATATAATATATATTATAAATATAAAAAACTAAAAAACTGAAGAACCAAACTACCCAAAAACCGAAATTGACGGACCCGTTAATCAGTGATACCAATTCGGTTTTGATTTAGAAAAAATGAAAAAATCGATGATACTAATTCGATTTACAAAAATTGCCTATTAACCGAATCATGAACACCCTTAATCACTGTTGCTTGTTTTTTTATTTATTTGTACAATTGTACTAAATCAATGTGAGAATGACAAACTTACTTTTAACAAATATATAAACAGGGTGGGTGGGAATCATAGACAACAGCAAGCAATGTATTATTTTTATGTGTGGATTGGTGGGTCCCACCCACCATAAGCATTCTCTTCTTAGTCCTTAGTCCTTAGTGCTTACTTGGGAAAACGGGCCTCTCCCTTGGAAACTCCCTTCCAAATTCCAATATCCATATCCCCCTCACTTGTCCTAAATATTCATACCAACAATTATAATATCAAATCAAAACAAAACAAGCCCATCATCATTCCCCCATCCTCCGTTTTTTCTATTTTTTAATTTAATAATGAAAAGTAAGAATTCAAATTGCATAGAACCCCTTTCTTATTTCTAAAATTGTGCCACAGCCTCTTCAGATTCATTCCTAAAATAAAATTACTCCACCCGAACAAGGAAAAAGGAATTTGGGATCGCAACTCCCAAGGATAAGGTTTTGACAAGTAGGGTTTTAATGTTGGGAGCAGAGCAGAAAATTTGAAGGTTGCATTGCGCAATTCATTGTACTCATGACCAATCTTGAATGCATATAACCTGCTCGATGTTATGCTGCATCCAAAAGAATGGTATTCTTACTTGATTACTTTTTTTTTTTGTATGTTCTCAAGGGCTGTACAACGGGGGGTAACCCATTCCCTAACTCAGGTACAAGTGGAATTCGATCTCAAGTTTCCGCCACAACTAATGAAAGACCTTACCAATCAGCTTGTTGACATCTTGCAAATTAGAGATGGCGTAACGTAAATTGCTTCCTTTCCACCCATGACAAGGGGGGATTATACTTATGCAGCCACAACATTCCTCTGTATATGCATTTAAGAAAAAATGGAGTTAAAAATAGTTGTAACTAAGAGATAAAAGGAGGTTTTTTTTTTTGGAAAAAAATAATGATAGTGATGGGGGCACATCTAAAAACAAAATCTTTACCAAAAAGAAAAGAAATCTTCCAACTGAAATTTGTGCCTACTATGTCATCTTTACATTCAACTTCTACAAAATTACTCCTACAATGAATTTTCAGACATTTACTACCATTCTTTTGGATGTCATTATTGTTTGGTGAATATAAAAAAACAAAGTTTGTTTTTATTTTTGCTTTGTATTTCTATTTTTTAATGAAGCTGGAAAGTGGAAACAACAATTTCCTTTTATTTTTTAATTTATTTAATCCTTGATATATTTGGGTTTCGAATAACATATAATTCTAAAAGACCAAGCTCCTTTCCTAATAAAAAAAGAGAAAGAATATAAAATAAATATATTTATTTTACGTACACTTAATAAAATGTTGAACACAAAAGGGGATTTATAACCTAGTGGGCGTTAACATTAGAAATATGGAAAATTATTGCAAAGAGTTTTCTGCAATATCATTTATTTTGGCACAGAAAATTGCATGAGAGGGGAAAATAGAGAATCATATCCCATTCCCAAGAGTTTGTTCAAGAGATGTTGATTTTTCATCGAGAGAGAGAGAGAGAGAATTAAGCCTAAAGACAAACCTCCTAATCTCCTATCCTGTTTGTTAAGACAAAGACGCCAATAACAGTTAAATAAAAGATGTTCATCTAGTGATATGTAGAAATACATTACACAGTTCTATCTCTTCAACAATGGTTTGGTTGTCCTTCACAATCTCAATGGTTTTCAATACTCCCATCATTTCAGCTGCAACCTTTTGCCTCAAAATGCACTCAATCTCTTCAATAGTCTCCCATCATGTGTTCAATGCTAAGCGGTACAATGTTCCATCTGCCCAATAATGGCTTCAATGGCTTCACTCATGCCATGGGAGTGAGGTACATTGAGCTTGCGAACCCCACGACAAACAATACATGATATATTCATTGTTGAAATTGTTGAATTGAATGATTTATTGCTTTGTCTTTTAGTAATTAAGTCATTGAGTTGTAATTGAGGTTCCCTTTGGGAGGGTTTTTATGTTTGAGTTGAGCTATTACTTAAAAACCATCGGTATTGAATATCATGTTTCATATCAAGGTTCAAAATATCATTATATATCGGGGCCTTCCCGATATGCCCCTATAGGGGGTGTAAGGGGTGCATCAGGTCAGGTCATGGTTCAGAGGGCAGCTGAGACTTAAATTGATCCCTCTAAACCAATTTTAAAAAATAAATAAAACACAAGAAAAGCATCGATATAGGCCGATATGCCTTATAGGCACTGTTTTGATATTTAAAACCTTGTTTCAGATAAGTTATTTAGAGTTAAATGTCTTTTCAAACATTGATGTGAACTGACTTTTAGGGTATCTTCTTCTTCTTCATTTTTCTTTTTTTTTTTTTTTTTTTTTTTTTTTTTGAGAGGGGGAAAGTTGATCAATGGTATTTTTGTTCTCATTGACCAAGATATTGATGTTCTTTGTTCAGATTTATGTGAGATTAATAAAAAAAATATTTTCCTTAGATAAATAACTTTCTTACATGATAAAAAGTGGCAACATTTAGAAGAGATAAAAATACTCATTTTAATAGTAGATTTTATGGTTTTACTTGGGAAATAAAAATAAGACGGGTAAATGAATTACATTTACCTGAGTAAATAGATTCCTAAAAAAGCGAATGGCCTTAGAATTTTCACCAAATATGGCTTTCTGAATGAGACCCACCTCGGAACACAGGATGCTGCTGCTCGAAAGCCCTCCCAACTTCCTGTAAAGTTGAGGAAAATTTCTATTATTTAATTATTAATATTTATTAAAGTTGAGTTTTTTTTTTTTTTTTTTATGTGAGACAAATCAAGGGTATTACCATTACATTCGTTTTGTTTTTATATTATTTCATGTGTTCAATGGAAAGCATTAGTAGTTGTTTGAACTCAAATAAGTTGACCATAACTATCAGAAATTTGAGGGGTGGTCCATCCATTTTACTCTAAAAAAAGGCCAAAGCCCATACTGCTTGCAGCTTGGTCTCTCTCTCGCTCTCCACCACTCTCAAGTGCTCTCAGAAGTAATGATTTTGTGTATTTATTATCCATGGATGTTCTGATGTTCATGTACTCTAAATGTTATGATAATGCGCTAGAAGACAATCAGCACTCATGTATGATTAAACATCTTAGCCCAAGCAGTGGGGCCCATGGGGTTGAGTCTCAAAAGGTACCACCTTTAAGTGTTAAGACTTCGGGGTGGAGACTGGAGAGAGAAACTTTCGAATTAACATTGTAATCCTCACAGGGACCATCCAACGGTGTAGACCCTATCGAGTACTAATCCATTAGTAACAGAATGCAAAACAGCCTAGTGGTTCGCCATGAACAACATCACGTCTTTATTCTTTAATCGGAAAAGTAGCCAAACCATACAAAATTGCAAACACAGGGGAGGTGATTTCTGATTTCATTCCGGCGAATCGACCGTTAACATCCAAAGGTGAGAATGGTGAGTGGATACCTAAGTTTTGGTTGTGCATAGAGATTGGAGACGAGTATGGAGAGGGGTTGAGTTGAGGTGGGGATGGGTCTGCAGGAGAGGGAGACTGCAAGTTCGAATTATTCTTCTTCGCTGTATGATTGCTTTTGATCCCTAGTAGTTCTTTTGGACTGTCTTTCTCTCGCTTTTTTCTTTAAAATATGGAATTCTTTTCTCTCTCCATGAGTCCATGTTACGTCCCCGAGGCTGCGCGGTCAGTCCAAAGCCAAACACAGAGAGAGAGGGAGAGAGAGAGAGAGACCATTAAAAAGCAAAGCAGGCCCTCCCGGGCCTTTTACACGTGATAAAGAAAAAACCAAAAGCAATTGCATGCGTGTATGAGTTTCATAAGCTCTTCCGCTTCTCTCTCTCTTTCTGAATCCCCACAAACCCATCTTTTGTTTCCACTTTCTCTTCTCTTTCCATCTCCTCACGTTCTCTGGCAGCTATCTTTTGAGTTTCGCGGTGTTTGATTGAAGGGCATTGGTTTTTCAATGAAAGCTACTGTTGTCTTTCTGCCCCTTTAATTCTTGTTGAGTTGTGTTGTAACTGGTATGTTCAAATGTTTCTCTTCTTTTGTTTCCTTATCGTTTTCTTTCATTTCGTCTTATTTTGTTGGATTACAAGGAATTTGAACATTTGACCAGGTGAGATTACTGGTTTTCAATGTTCTTCGTCAGTCCTTTATCCTTTCTAGGATTTGGTTTTTCGCATGTTCTGTTCTGGTTTTTGGAGATGTTAAGTTAGAAATTGGGTCGAGGATTGGATTTTTCTCCTTCATAGTTCTTTCTGGCTCGGCCTCAATGTTCTCTGTAGAATGTGTAGTGTGCAACTATGTATTTCTTTTTTTCTGACATAACATGGTTGAAAATGCGGTTAAGAATTACTCGTTAGTCTCATGGCTACAACTTTGCTTTGGCTTTCGTCTTTTAACTGTTGATGTTCATGTTCTTTCTTTCGGGGCTCACGCTTAATTGGCCACCGAGAAGGGCCACAGGCAATGGGAGAAAGTTTAGTTATTACCAAATACTATTGCCTTGCACTCAGCTTTATGATTTTTCAGTCTCAGAGCTGAATTTCAGCCGCAAGTCTGGGTTTTGGGTTTCGTGTTTTGGGACTTTGTTTAGATGGGTGTATGAGTTCTTCAGCTGAAAATTGAGTGGACATCTTTATTTACTGTAATTTATGTTTGGGTATCTTTTGCCTGTCCCTTTCTCATGTTTCTCTGATTCCCAGATAATAGAGACTTGAGTGGAAGTCTTGTTTTGGGTTTTGATTTAGTTTGAAATATTTTGCCGAAACATAAGTGAAAGATTTTCGATATTTTGTTTTGCGAAGGAATGGCAAAGCTTGTAGTCTGCAACAAAGACTGACCTTATCTCCACTTCTTTTTTCACCTCTTTGTTTATAATTGTGATGTATTGTTATCTTTATTTCCATTTATTTACTTATTTTTCAATTGAAGTTATGTTTCTGACATGTCTTTCTTCTCCCTGTTTTTGGATTCTCAGTACAGATTGTCTGAAACCTGAGATAAAAGAAGGCGGAGTCGTTTACTTGGTGAAGCCGTGAAGGCCTTTTTGCATAAACGGCGTTAAGCATATAAATTTCAGTCGCCATGCCCGTAAGACAGATGAAAGAAAGCTCAGAGCAGCACCTTGTGATCAAACCCCAAATCCACTCCATGAATCCGTTTCAAAAGACACCAAAAACTGCTCAGAATGGCAAAGGCCCACCTCGTCAAGAACCCCATAATACTACCGCTGAACAACACCCTTCACCTCCTTCAAGGAATAGAGGTAGGAGGAGAGGAAGAGGTGGCCGAAAATCCGACCAAGGCGATTCTGTCATGCGACCAACTTCCAGGCCCTGCACCATTGCTCATAAACCGGTTGCAGGTCACTCTGTTGAGACTCTGTCAACCGAAATTTCAAGTGGATCTTCCGATGGGGGTCATGTTTGTGAAATGGAGATGGCTTTTCCTTCTTCAAGCAAAGCTTTGAGATTTGCCCCAAGGCCTGGGTACGGTCAAGTAGGGACAAAGTGTATAGTAAAAGCCAACCATTTCTTTGCAGAGTTACCAGACAAGGACCTGAACCAGTATGATGTAAGCTATCTATCTTGATGGGTTTTCTTCTCCTAGTCTGTTAATTGAGTTGCACAAGAGATGGGGTAGGATTTTTCTTTTCTAGCTCTGGAAATTCATTTATTTTCACGTGGGTCTCTTCTTATACTCTACTGAGAATTGAATTATAAGGGCACTCCGGTTTTAGATTTCCTGTTTAGTCTTGTCTTTTCCTTTTGGTTCTATTATCAGATTTTAGTCTGGATTTTATCTGTATTCTTCTTATTGTCTTTTTTTTTTTAATTTTTCTTGCAGGTTACCATTATTCCTGAAGTGGTTTCAAAGTCTATGAGTAGAGCTATCATGGCCGAGCTTGTGAAACTGTATAGAGAGTCGGACTTGGGAATGAGATTGCCTGCATATGATGGAAGAAAGAGCCTATACACAGCAGGAGAACTCCCCTTTGCTGCCAAGGAATTTAATATCAAACTTGCGGATGAAGATGATGGAATCAGTGGTCCAAAGTAAGGGTTCACTGTCTAATTAATCCTTTTATCTTCTTTTTTTCCCTTTTTTTAATGTTCTTGCTTCTATCTCTTCGAAGTCTCTGAGTCATAAGTTTCAATTGAAGTAGATAGAGAAAATAAAATTTGTTCCCTCTCATAACTATAATTTTGTTGGTCTCTATGCTGCTTCTTTTGTTGTTCTCTTTAGAGGTATTTCTGTCCCCCATTGACAACCTTTTTCTTGTCTTTTCAGAAGGGAGAGAGAATATAAAGTGGTGATCAAATTTGTTGCTCGAGCAGACTTGCACCATTTGGGCCAATTTTTAGCTGGTAAACGTGCAGATGCCCCACAGGAAGCTCTTCAGATTCTTGACATTGTACTAAGAGAACTCTCAACTAAAAGGTATTATTTCTTGAAACAGATTATTATCTTGATCCCCATTAGTGCAAAATCCATGACACTACCGAACTGAGTTCTTATTAGTCTCACAATTCCTGCACTTCAAGGTACTGCCCTGTTGGGAGATCTTTCTTTTCTCCTGATATAAGAAGGCCACAGCGGCTTGGGGAAGGATTGGAGTCATGGTGTGGGTTTTACCAAAGTATAAGACCAACACAGATGGGTTTGTCCTTAAATATTGGTGAGTGAACATCACCTAATTAGTATTGCTGATGAATACATGATACATTTTTCTTGTTCCTTCTTTTCCCTATGCTGTATTTGGTTTGATGGAGAATGAGAGAGAAACAGAAAGTTTAGGGAAATTAATATTGGTGAGTTTATGTTTCTCTCTTATTTTTATCAAACCAAACATAACTTTATTGTGTTACTCATTTTCCTGATTTTTATCTTTTTTCCCCTATTCCATAGATATGTCATCTGCAGCATTTATTGAGCCTCTCCCTGTAGTTGAGTTTGCTGCTCAACTTCTGGGCAAGGATGTTCTGTCAAGGCCCTTGTCTGATTCTGATCGTGTAAAGGTACTGTTGGTTTTGTGTAATTGATGGTAGCTAGATTCGACATTTCATTTTTTGTTTTCCGTTTTTGGGGTTCAGTATTCATAGCCTTTTATTCAACTTAAGAAACCTTTTATCTGGAAACTTTGTTTCAGATCAAAAAAGCTCTAAGGGGAGTGAAAGTTGAGGTGACTCATAGAGGAAATGTGCGAAGAAAGTACCGAGTTTCAGGACTAACATCACAACCTACAAGAGAACTGGTGTAAGATGCTTCTGTCTCACACACTCCACTGTCTATTTCGCATATCTTGCATGTATCTTTTAGACTATCTTCCTTGTTTTCTTGACTATTCTCAAATAGAAAGGAGCATAGGAATAGCAGAGAGGTCCATTGAGCTAAAACTTGTTCCATGGAAATAGGTTAAGGCAAAACTGGTGAACTGGTTTGGAGCTAGCACCTCATCTGACAAATTTCAAATTTATGCAGGGAAACAATTTTTTTTTCAATGTTTCACTTTCTTTGCTCAGAATTACATTATAATAATTTCAGGTTTATTTCTAGAGGCCCGAATGACAAAGTGAACTACATTGACTTTTTCCCTTTTGCATTCATGGATTACTGTTTGTCAATTTCCTTGATCAAACACATCACATTCATAGTGATTCTATTATTGACAACATGGAACCTGGCAGGTTTCCTGTTGATGACAAATCAACAATGAAATCGGTAGTTGAATATTTTCAAGAAATGTATGGCTTCACCATTCAACATTCACATCTTCCTTGCCTTCAAGTTGGGAATCAGAAGAAGGCAAACTATTTGCCAATGGAGGTAAAGATAGTATTGTTTCATAATCACATGTGTGCAGCATATTGACTTTTGTGGGAGGATATTTGTAAGTCTAGAATCTTGTCCAAATAGCTATTTGCATGACTGTGATTTACTAGGCCTGCAAAATTGTTGAGGGGCAGCGATATACAAAAAGACTGAATGAAAGGCAAATAACTGCTCTTCTGAAAGTTACATGCCAAAGGCCTAGGGATCGGGAAAATGACATTTTGCAGGTATTTTCTAATAATTTCCTTTTTTTAATTGCTGATTTATATCTTTTCAAATATTTTCTAGAATATGAATCTCTGATATAACTGAATTGGTGAATATAACTACTCTATGTTAATATTTTATACTTACCCATAGATGCATTCATGAATCATTTCTTTGTCATGCTGTGTCAGACTTTTGGAGACGTGTTGGGTTCTGATTCCCATGTCTGTGTTCTTTAAATTTAATATGTTTGGTTTCTTCTGATTAAAGCAAATTCCCAATTGCAATCAACTTTCCAGATCTTAATGTAGTTGGTAGCAAGGATCAAAATTTTGGCCCATACCAGCCAATACGTATCGTATTGGAGCCTTCCTGATACGCTCCTACAGGGGGTGTTTTAGGTCGACAAGTGGTTCAGACGGTAGACCAGCCTTAAATCGGTCCTTCTGAACCAGTTTTGAAAAAAAAACACATAAAAATAGTACCGATACAGGCCAATACCTACTGGCATATCGGCCTGTATCGATATTTTGAACCTTGGTTGGTAGAGGTCAGTTTTGCTAATATCTATAACAATCAATAAAAAACAATAAAGTTATTATATCTATAAAAAAACTTAATCAAGTATTCTATCCCATTATTTTCTTTTACATGAAATATGCTTTATGAATACCCGTATCTTAATGTGCTTAATGTAACATTTTACTTTTGATAACCTCTCAAACAATTTCAGACAGTTCAACATAATGCTTATGACCAAGATGCATATGCAAAGGAGTTTGGGATCAAAATCAGTGAGAAGCTAGCTTCTGTTGAGGCTCGGATTCTGCCTGCTCCTTGGGTAGTACTACAGCTTATAAAACACCATTATTTGATTAGAGTAAATATAGAGTTTTTCTGGTAGTTGGTCAAAGTCTGATTCTACCATTCTGCAGCTGAAATATCATGATACTGGGAAGGAAAAAGATTGTTTACCTCAAGTTGGTCAGTGGAATATGATGAACAAGGTATATCTTGTTGCTTGAATTTTTTTGTTCAATAAGTGCACTTGAGCTAGTATTTTCTAGTTTTCATGTCTGGCATTGTTATAGAAACTTCCTTCAAAAACTCAGTGTGATTGGCTAACTTCTCCAAATCCTCAATCCCACCACTACCACATGGGAAAAAGAAAGATTAGGACTATGAACTAAAAGAAAATGATGAATAGAAAATTCCAATGCTGTGGTTCTGACTTCTGTCCTCCTTTGTCATTGGAGTTGAATTTCGAATCTTGTATACCAGTTTTTCCATCAGAATCTTTTCTGCATTCTCTTTTATATCAAGTTATCAAACGATGGCTTTCTTGGTTAATCCTCACATCCCTTTAAACCACCACAAATAGCTCAAATGGGATATGGTGCAATTATGATTTGTCTTCGTTTTTTTTTTCTTATCCTTTTTTATTTTTTCATGGCTTCCACTTGTACGTGTATCACAAGTTTGGTTTGACGTAGAAATTCCTCTTTCATTCTTAATTTCCTTTCCATTACTGCTTCTACCTCTGAGCTTATATTCATTGGTCTCCTGCTGCGTGGAAAAACAGAAAATGATTAATGGAAGCACTGTCAACCGATGGGCATGTATCAATTTCTCAAGGAGTGTTCAAGAAAGTGTTGCTCGTGGATTTTGTAATGAGCTGGCTCAAATGTGTCAAATATCTGGCATGGTAGTACTCTCACTTCTGAGCTTCGTATCTTGAGATGTGTTTGAAGATGATCCTAATTCTGCATTTTTTTTGGATTAATGAACTTGTTGGTTTGCTCTTTTTAATAATATATGTTCTTCTGTAGGAATTCAATACAGAGCCTGTGATCCCAATCTATACAGCAAAGCCCGAACAAGTAGAGAAGGCTCTGAAGCACGTTTATCATGCATCAATGAACAAACTCAAAGGGAAAGAGTTGGAGCTACTCCTAGCAATATTACCTGATAGCAATGGTTCCCTATATGGTATGCCATATGCTATTGTATATTTCGTGACTTTGATTCATTAAGTTATATTTTGAGCTTGGTTTTTGGAATTACAACAGTAAGGAAGTCCATTTGATATTTTCCATAATTCTATTTTATTTTCAGGTGATCTCAAGCGGATATGTGAAACAGATCTAGGTTTAATATCACAATGCTGTCTGACAAAGCATGTCTTCAAGATTAACAAGCAGTATCTGGCTAATGTGGCACTGAAAATCAATGTTAAGGTGCGAACAACTTCTATAGTAATACACTAATACTTTATCAATGTGTATATGAACTCAAAAATGCATACGTACAAATATGAGCTTCATTTTACATACATATTCCCATGCACTTGTTGCAGATGGGAGGAAGAAATACTGTTCTTTTGGATGCCATCAGCTGGAAGATACCATTGGTTAGTGATATACCAACCATAATATTTGGAGCAGATGTCACTCATCCAGAAAATGGAGAAGACTCCAGCCCCTCAATTGCTGCTGTAAGATCAGTCAAATGTGTTAAAAGTTATTTAATTCTTCTCTTCATCGGCAAATCAAGATCTTGAATGCTGACAGTTGTTAGTTTTGGCTGTAGGTAGTAGCTTCTCAAGACTGGCCCGAAGTCACAAAATATGCTGGTCTGGTTTGTGCCCAAGCTCATAGACAGGAGCTCATACAAGACTTGTACAAAACCTGGCATGATCCTGTACGTGGCACTGTCAGTGGTGGAATGATTCGGTACAACTCCCTCTCAGGTTGCATCCTAACTTTCATTATGTAAATCATGCTCATCTAATTAAGTTCTTCCTTTTTAATGTAGGGACCTATTGATTTCCTTTCGGAAGGCAACTGGGCAAAAGCCACTAAGGATTATATTCTACAGGTCAATAGAAGTTGTTAATTATCATGCAATTTTTTATTCCAATGTTCTAAGGACAAGCAAACCTTCAACCTAATATTAATATACACTACTTCATCCTGATTCTCCTAAAAAAGAGTGAAGAAATATTCATTGCAACAGTAGGAGTGTAGTTCTTGCAAATAAGTTGGAATTTAGTGACTTAATTACCAAGTAATTACAACCTCATAACCAGCCTGTGTGGCTGTAAATGTTTTTTGACATTTTAAGATTGGGGTCATTATGTTTTTGTTATATATTTATTGCTTGATATGATGGATACAAGTATAACAAAGCAATTAAATAGCTAAATCAACAGATGCAAGTTAGAAAGCAGTAAATATTATGTCGAAAATAGTTTAATTAATACAATTCTTAGAACATTCTATCTAGGAATCCATCCATGTAATAAAAGTGGTCATTGTGTGGGGTTCATTGACAATTACAACTTGGGTTAACCCCCAAAAGAGTCATTACTAACCATGTCGTAAACTGGAAATTTGCAGACCAATAGCCATGCACTGCCTTGCCTAAAGATTACTCTCATTTCTTTAGCAAAAGATGTCAACATTTCTACAGCAGATGTGGGCAAAGGCTCTATAAAGTTCTCAGGTGCAGAAGGCTCCTTATCAGATGGACAGTCCTGTGTCAGTCATACATATGAATAAAAGGCATGGACCCTTTAAGGACAAGAATCCTAGATGCTCTATCTTGATAAGCCTTTAAGCATAAAATAGAAAAAAAATGTTGACCTAATAAACTGTAGTTATGTATTCAAAACATCAGTTTTTGATTTTGGTGGAATGTCTGTCAGCTGGGTGTTACTTGGCTATTTCCATGTAATGTGAGTATCTTTTCAATTCTAAGGCTAAAAGTTAATGTGTTTTATGTATCTCCACTGCCATTTTCTGCTGCTGCCCTTGGTGGGGGAGGGGTAGTCAGGAAAGATTTGTTTTAGGGTGTCAGTCATTTGTGGTTAGGCTTTGCAGTAAGATTGGGTTAATTGTTGGGTTTAATTTGGAGCTGCCCTGGGTTTATGCCTTACTTGTTATGATATATTGTAATGCAATTGCTATCATGAAAAAATATGGTGATATAGTCATCAATCAAACTTAGTCACCCATTTGATTGATAGAGAACATAATGATACGTATACATTCATGTGTTTTTCATATACATATTCTTGCCTTATGTGAGGATATTTCGAGCAGGGATGGTGTGAGTGAAGGGCAATTCTATCAAGTTCTACTCTACGAGTTAGATGCAATTCGGAAGGTGGGTCTTGTTAACTTTCATGTTGTATTAATTAAAATTATCCAAAACTAAATCAGAATATTTTTTTAACACTACCCGTCTGCATAGGCTTGTGCCTCACTAGAACCAAACTACCAACCACCAGTGACTTTTGTTGTGGTCCAAAAAAGACATCACACAAGACTATTTGCTAACAACCACAAGGATCGTAGTAGCACTGACAAGAGTGGAAACATCTTACCTGGTAAAGTTCAAGTTCTACAGTGAAATTATACTTTCCTGCATACCAAAAAGATAGCTAGGAAATAAAGAAGCTATTTTGGATCATCCATCTAACTCTTTTTTCTTTCTTTTTTTCTTTCAGGCACAGTGGTTGACTCTAAAATATGTCACCCTACAGAGTTTGACTTTTACCTCTGCAGCCATGCTGGAATTCAGGTATTTATTCGTTTGAACCATTCTGTTGATTTAGAAATACATTTTACAAAATAAGGTGTTTCATTTTGGATCAGACAAGTGAAGAGAAGGGGGAAAAACAAATGAAAAGTCTTCTACTAAGTCCTCCTGGCCTCACCAAACGACCTTGTTTCTTAAAGTTACCCCATAAAATGATAGAATGTAACTTGGATTTTATCATGATAGTGTCCTACTACCTTTTGTAGCTACATTCTGAAGGAAATATATACCACTGGGCTGTTCTGATCTATTCTGATAATTGATCTCTGATTTTTGGGCTTCACCTTATGAGAGAGATGAACCACATATTGAATGATTTTTATTGATTTTTTTTTGGGCTTCACCTTATGTCTCTCATTTTTTGGGTTTCACCTTATGAGAGGTGAACCACATACCCAAGCATTTTTGGGCTTCACCTTATGCCTGTGATTTGTTTCCTTCAAAAAAACGATTCTTATTGATGATAGGATTAATGATTGGATATGCAAGGTGATAGTTGGAAAATGCTAAGTACATAGCCTGCATAAGCATAATACATGCATGCGTCATCTTTACCACCTCTTTTATAATTAAGCTCAGTTGAGTGCTTTTCGCAGTTAAATTCACCTGTCATTTTCCTTGCCATCTGACAGGGAACGAGTAGACCAGCCCATTACCATGTTCTGTGGGATGAGAACAATTTTACAGCAGATGGAATTCAATCCTTGACCAATAATCTTTGTTACACGTATGCAAGATGTACACGTTCTGTCTCTGTTGGTAAGTCGTTCTTTTACAAAATTCTCTCATGACCATGTAAAAGATGATGTATTGGTAGTTTGTCTTTCATATTCTCTCATAGTCTTTGAGAAATGACAAATATATTCATGAAGCCCCCCGATTGCTGTTTATTACAATAGCCAAGTGCTTAAAGATTTCTTACCCAAAAGAAAAAGGTCTAAGCTCTCTTAATGGAAAAGAGGGAATAAACTTGCTATGGGGTTATCATTTTAGGAGAAATTATTCTTACCAACGCAATGTCAGCTTTTCTCTAGATTGACATTGAGCATATACCATCTTGTAGTAGTGGAGAAATTAGATGGTAGGACTATCAATTTCTTACAATATTGATCATTAGCTCATGTCTTGAATAGGAACACTAATAATTCCTTACATATTCTATATCATGCACTGTATACAAACACAATTATCAAAATTGATCATTAATTATGCACACTCAGCTTACCTGAACTCAGCTTTTGTCTAATCTCAATTACTAAATGGCCAAACTGATATTTACTTGTGCAGTTCCTCCTGCATATTATGCACATTTAGCAGCATTTCGAGCTCGGTTCTACATGGAACCAGATGTGCAGGACAACGGTGGTGTTTGTCAAGCATCAGCCCGGACTACTCGAGAAATGGGGGAGTCAGGTGTTAGGCCGTTACCAGCCCTCAAGGAGAATGTGAAGAGGGTAATGTTCTATTGTTAAGTGATATGAAGGTGATATGGTTTTGGGAAAAGAGTGGTTGAATGTGGTTTCCATATTCCACTCTTCCATCTCTGTAATTCCCTCCTTGTATTTATTATTATTATTATTATTATTAATGTAAGGTTAATAGGTCCGATTTTAAATTAGCTGATCATCAAGAGTCCTAGTCACTAGTCAGATCCTAGTATCGGGCGCCCAAATGTAGATTGATAGGGATAAAAGGGATGTCTTAGGAGGTTAAGAAAATTATTAAAATAAACGAAGTGTTTTTACTTGGAGAGGGTAAATCCTGGTGTAATTTTTTGTATTACTGAAGCAGTAAAACCTGCAAGACCTTAAGAGATTAAAATGGTAAACATAGTATTTTTATTCGGAGGGTAAACATAGGGCTGGTTTAATGCTTTGTATCACTAAAACAGTAAAACCTGCAAGACCTCAAGGCATTACAATAGGAGACAACTAATACTGGCTTGTGGCTTCTTCTGCATTTTGTCTTTGTGAGACAAGGACAAAGTTTAACAACCCAGTCCAGCAGCACTCAACCTGATGATTCCAACAGTTACATAAGATTACAATTTATATCAAGCAAATCACAATAATGCGCTTACTGTAGGCGTCAATTGTGAAGTACATCATTGAGACTTGCTTGATATAATCTTATCTAATTGAGTGAGAATCTAGTAAGAGTCTGATAGGGAGGGCATCAAGGTCTTAGATACTGTTAGACCTGGATTGTTTTCTGGAAAGTAGGGGTGCATGAGTTTAAGTTGGTAGGTCGCATGAAAAAGAAATAAATCCACATTCGTTTTCTGGTGCTTGGATAAGTGCATTCGGTGGCATGAAAAAAGAAATCCATGTTCGTTTTCTGGTGCCTGGACAAGTATACATATGGAGATGCAAATAAGGCCATAGTATCCCTGACCCTCACAAAGAGCATGTGAATGGCATTTTAATTAAAGAGAAGTAATTTATAATTAAGTTCGTTGACATGCTTTGGAAACGTATTGATGTGGTGGATAGGGTCATGAAGCCATTTGAAGAAATGTAGATGTAACTCCATGAGGTGATAAAAATTAAAATGAGAGACTAGATAAAGATGGTATAATCATATGCAGAATGCCATTGATAAAAATGGTTTGTTGCAAGTTGAAGGGCTAGAAAGGTTGGGGTAGACCAAAAAGGATTTGGGTCAAAGTTGTAATAAATGAATTAAATGTTTTAATTTAACAATGAATATGACATTAAACATTTTTGTAGACCCAATTAAGGATATATTTACGGTGCAATAAACATTGTTACAATACCAATGGGAGAAACGTCAAATTTTATAGTTATAATAGGCCTTCACCAAAGTTTTGCATTTAATCCTTATTTATTTGCATTAATCATGGATGAATTGGCTAAACATATTCAAGAGGAGGCCCCGCGGTGCATGTTATTTGTTGTTGACATCATTTTAATTGATGAAATTAATGAAAAATTAAACTTATGGACAAATGTTTTAGAAACATGATGTTTTAAGATAAATATAACTAAAAAAAGAATATATAGTATAACGATGAAGTGCAAATTATGATATACACTTTTTCTGAGAGTAAGAGAATTCAATGTGACATTTTTTTGGTACCTTAGTTTGATAATTTTTAACGAAAGAGAGGTTGAGGAAAATGTTGCCTATAAAATTAGAGTAGGATGGGTAAAATGGAGAGCATTAGGATTTTTATGTGATAAATGAATACTATTTACATTAAAAGGAAGTTTTTAAAAGTAAAAGGCAAGTTATATTGTATGGAGTAGAGTGTTGGGCCATCGGGGACTAATATGTTAAAAAATGAGTGGCAGAAATACATACGCTGATATGGATGAGTAGGAAAACTAGAAAAAATAAGATCATAAATAAAGTCATATGTAAGAACTTAGAAGCATCTTCATTAAGTGATAAAATGAGAGAAAGTAGACTATGGCTATGTTTGATGAATAAGTAGTTTGAGAAATAAGTACTTATTAGTGTTTGGGAGGTTCTTTCCCAAATCACTTACACTTATTTGGATTACAGTGTTTGGTGAGCTGCTTAACTAATAAATACTTATATGTGAATAAATGACAATTGTAGCCATGAAAAATTGCCTAAATGGAGCAAAAATGGAGAAAAAGAGAGGAGATTCACATAGTTGGAATGATTTCTTAGCATCGAATCGCCTGCCTTCGCCACTAGTTCATGTTGAAGCTCAAATGGAGAAGACACTCAACTGGATTTTGAGAAAAATAATAGGTACAATTTTGTTCCAAAAATTTGGAACAAGTGCTTAAAATAAGCTGTTCATAGGTTGCTTTTTTTTTTTTTTTTTAAATACTCATTTTGAAAACAAACACTTATTCACTCCTTTTACGCAAAACATGAATAAGTGCTTATTTGGCACTTATTGTGTGACCCGCCACCTTTTTTAAATACTTATTCAAATAAGTACTTAACATAAGCGATACCAAACAGGGGTTGGTTTGGTCATGTGTATATTAGAGCATCAACCATTATATAGAATGGACTAATAACTAACACCATATACTTGGGATAAGGCTTGGATGATGATGACGATGACGATGACATTAAATAGTGTGGAATGAAGTAAAATACATAAGAAGAAAGGCATGTTTTAATAGTTTTTGTAAAGTAGGAACCATCATGATATATTTAATTAGGGACATCGTAAAACAATAGAAGAATTTAAATATGCTTGGATGCTTTGTTAAACCATAGGATAAATTATAGACACCCACCTTGTACTTAGGGGGTCATGACACTAATCTCTGAACTTTGTTTTGTGACACAGACCCTCTCTACTTTAGGATTTCAGCACTTTGCCCTTTGGCCTTACAGTTACCATTTCACCAATTAGCTACATGGAATATTCCTATGTGATTGTCATGTATAGGTTGATACATTTTTAAAAGGGTCATTTACTAAAACACCCTTTATAGTTTCATGGATTTACTAAACCCTACCCTATAGTCTATGTTTTACTAAAACACCCCCTATAGTTTGCAACCAATTTACTTAATTGACCTTCTATTAAGAATCCTTTGTATTTCTATCCAAAAATGGTAATGGCCATATAAACAAAGTGGAAAATGTTTCAGGGCATGAACCCATGCTTTTTTATACCAGAATTACCCACAAAATTTCATTTCAAGCTTCTAAAAAGATACAAGGTTTGACTTTCAGATCTATCAATAAACGTTTGGCTATAGCAGAATGAAGAAGTGAGAACAATAGCATCTAGGGGTTTTTTGTCAATAATGGTGTGTATTCCTTCTTCAAACAAACAATAAATTTTACTGAAAAAGAGTTGCTGCCCATGTTTTACAAAGGACAAGAATGACATTTCTATTTTTGTTTTTGTAGATTAAATTTGTTCAAAGGGATTTTAAGGTCAAGATTGTCATTTTTCACTTCCAACTAATGGAAGGAAGATTAAGTCAATTGGTTGCAAATAATAGGGGATATTTTAGTAAAATGCAAACTATAGGGTAGGTTTTAATATATCCATGATACTGCAAAAGGTGTTTTAGTAAATGATCCTTTTTAGAACCCCAAAGGACAAAACAACCCCTATGTTACCTTGTAAAAGCACTTTATCTAAGGCTGCATTTGGCATTCTTTTGTAAACTTTATAGGTTGATAAAGTGCTAAGAAGAAAAAAGTTTATAAAGGTCTTTATGAGTTAAAAACTAAAAACCTATACTATTTTAATAAGATTTTGGCCTCTGAATCTCTTATTAACCTATTTAGCCCAATAAACAAACAACAACTGTCCTCAATTGTGTATAATGTTATTCACTCATACAATGACTGGTGGAGGGCGTTAAGCCTTCCATTACACACTTATTGAAATGGAGATATGCTTCTTTTTGGCCCGATGATATTGACTTCTGTAGTGAGCACATAGTTGGGTGGAGTCCAGAAAAGAAATACAGAGGCAAAAAATAAATAAAAAGTATTTTTATAGGGTTGAGTGGATTGGGAAGTAGAACTATTGGATGTTTTGATTTAATCCAAGAAGAGGGTTGGCAATGCAGAAAAGAAGTAGAAGTATGGATGTTTTGATTTAACCCAAGAAGAAGAAGAGGATTGTCAATGCAGAAAAGAAATGAAGCACAAGTTCGTTATCAAAGTTAGGGGGTCCAACAATGCTTGTCCTGCAATTTGAATTTGCATTTTAGTTTTACAAGAAAAGTGTCTAATAAAGGGGAAAGGGCATAACACTTTAAGGAGAGGTGTTATTTTGTCATTGGGTTTGTAGCTTGTAAGGACAGGACAGTCAAAATAGGTTAATAGAAGATCTCCACGCAAAGTTGTTATGGCATGCTAAAATTCAGTTCTCACAACACTTGCAACTCTGTATTGGGAACATCTCCATACTAGTGTGTGGGGGGTTACTAATGGGGGTTGGGTCAAAATGTAATAAAATAGATTCAAACCTTCTAAAAAAAATTCCTAGCTCTGCCATTGGTTGCAAGTGTTGTGAGGATGATGTGATGGAAAATTTTAGGCCTATTTGGCAAGTCTTTTTGGGAAGACTTTTGGTAGCTCTGATAGTCAAAAGACGTATTGAGCTTTTGCACGAAGATCTGAGCAGCCTGAAGCTAGTTTGACAAATACATGTCTTTCTGTGCAATAATAAAATGAGAAAGACGCGAAAAAGCTTCATTTGGAGCTTTCCAAAATGGATTTCTCACGTCTTTTTGGCGCTCCACCTTTTGACAACTAGATCTTCTGTGAACCAAACGGGAATAAGACTAAAAATTGGTTTGCCCGATTTATAAACAACCGAAAGATCACATGAAAAGACACGCCAAACAGACCATTTGTGAGGACTGAATCCAATCTCAACATGATATAGATGTGAGAATTCATGTTATACCAATGTATGTGGGTCATGGATGTGTGAATTAAATTTGAATCTGTGCTAAAGAAGCTAATCAGATGCTAGCCACCAAACATCTTATTTTATGGTCAATCTATCAAAAAGAAAAAAACATCATATGGCGTTACACTAGACGACATTACCATCACAAACAGAGGTTTATATTATATATAGCAGTATCCAGAATCTGATGAGAAACAACAATAAACCAAATTATTTTACAGAGCAGAGG